GTAAGGTATCAAGATTTCGTTGCGTTGGGTTGGGTTGATATTGGTTTCTACTGTGAATATGCTGGTGGTAACTTAAAGTTGGACTTTAGAATCGCTATTTTTTTTTTGATTTGTGATAAATAGTATGCAATTATATACAATTTAGCTGGAAACAAAATGTTGTGAGCTCGGAAGGGACTATTACTCCCAGCTATTTATTCTAGCAGTCATGATTTAAATTTTGATTCACCTGAGAATAGTCACCGGAAAGTTCCATTTATTAGGAAAAGATCAAATAATGCAATTAGTTGAACTTTAAACTTTAGTCCTTACATAATAATTTACAAAAATTCAATTCTTATATTAATTTAATTTAATAATATTGGTTCAATTAGTAACAATATTACTTAAATTTTGTTAAAGTTGTTGACGTAATCATTGATTATGCTGATATGGTATTAACTTTAATGATAAGAGATTAATTTGTTGACATGACAATTGGGATTAATAAAATCAATTGTTAAAATATATAAATGGTCATAATACTCATTTGAAATTTAAAATTTAGTCTTATGCTTATACAAAATTAAGATTTAGTTATTGTACTATACGAAATTTGAAATTTAGCCCTCTAATGCAAAAAATATTTTGAATTTTTAAAAATTTTCTAGTTTTTTAAAACATTAAATTTTAAAAATTACTATAATATTCTCTCATAATATTTATCACAATATTAAAAATCTATCATAAAATTTAGTGACAATTTTCATATATTATCACTAAATCTATCACAATTTTTTGTCACTTACGTGAAATACTATTATTAGTTCTATAACTATTTCTTATTATATTCTGTCATAAAATATAAATTTATTACTAATTTTTTAAACTTTTTTGTCACAATATATTGTAATATATTGTGATCATATGAACAAAAATCTTAAACCATTATATTAAAAATGTATCATAAATTTGTCAATATATGATACAAATCTATCACAATTAATTTTAACAAAACTATTATTTTGTTAACTTATCTAATAAATTAGAATTATAATTATATCCATAAGGGTAAACATTATCCATAAAGCAATGTTCTATTCTTTTAAATTAAACCCTATTTAAATGATTTTTATTAATAAATATAGGTTCAAGATTCTAAATAAATTAAAGTAATTTACAAAACTTAATGTGATTAGTTTTTAAAAATTAATCTTAGTATTTAATTAATATAATATTTTAAATAAGGTTTTTTGTGAAGACCCAAAAAATTAAAAGTTCTCATTAGAATATACAATATTGAAGTTTCAGTTTATTAAATAAATTATTTTTTCCTTTCATTTTATTAGGATTCAGAGTTTGTCTTTCAAATATTATAGGAGCTTATACCTTGTAAGAATCTAGGTTTGAATCTTTTATTTTGCTTGATTGGATGGAATGATTATTTCATTTATGGTCTATTTCAAATTCATTTCATTTATGGTCTATTTCAGATTCATTACGAATAAATAGTTTAGTTCATTATAAATTTTATTATATGATATATTTATACTAATTAAAATAATATTAACTTTGACATACTAATTTAAATTATTAATATTATAATTGATTAATATTAATGATAATAATAATATATATTAATATGATATTATTATTAATTAATTGTAATAATAAAAACTAATATATTAAAGGACTAAAATATTTTTAAAATTTAATATTTTTAAAAAACTAAAAAAAATCAAAATAATTTTTTTTGTATTAGAGAGATTAAATTTTAAATTTTGTGTGAGTATATGTACCACTTGCATAATTTAACAAATAATTTCATTAATCCCAATTGTTATATTAGCAAATCAATGTCACGTCATTAAAGTCAATGTCAAATCAATATGATCAAAGGTCACATCAACTAATTTAATAGAGATCGAGAAACACTTATATTAATTAAACCAATATTATTAAATTAAACTAGTATGAGAATCTAATTTTTACAAATTTTTATATAGAAACTAAAGTTTAAATTTCATTTAAATAAATGGATTAATTGTATAATTTGACCTTAAGAGAAAAAAAAAACATTTTTTTAAAATGAGTCCCTTTGGAAGTTGTTGGCAAAATCTCAAAAAAAAAAAAAAACCCCTTTTTATATAATGAGAAAGTACAAACTTTTTTTTTATAAGATTAAAGATTTAAAATGCGGACACAACCATAATTTTTATTACATTATGTTTATTGTAATTGTGGATATAACAAATAAGATAATGCAAATAAACTAATTAAAATATAGTTTGATGTTTTAATAGTCATGCTTATCATGGTCTTGAATGTTTTTAAAATTTTCATAATGAAACAAAATAATAATTTGATATAATCATATTTATTATGATATTTAAAATAATTTATAATATTTTAATCTTATATTTATTATGGCGAATAACGATGATGGAAAGTGATGTTATCACTAAATAACGACTGTTATATCGTGTCACATAAATTATTTAAATCCATGGATAACATACTAAACTTGCAAAACAATTACAATTAGAGGATATTAGATTCATATAAATCTTTTTGTTTCAATATGTAGTGTTATAGACCGTAAGTTTTGTATGACAAGGAAAAAAAAAGGATCAGAATTGTTTATTCAATCAAACAAACATGAAAGGGGTAGTGCTGGGGCGGTGGGTGTGTGCAGGATTTCCGACAAGGGTATTGGGGCATTAGGACAAATTAACAGTGTTTAGGAGCCTCCTTATAAGCTGATAATAAAATCCCACTTGTGACTGAGATAAGGTTTGTTAGTTTTCATTGTACGTTACTCTCCCTCTTAGGAGTGACTATTGAATCCACCACAGCGCGTGGCTTGGCTCAGGGACCACAAGCTGGGTTTCTTCCTACGTTTCTATTTTTTTTTTTTTAATTTGGATGTGTCAATAACTTTTCATTCATGTTCTAGCCAATATCCATTTCCAGTCTGTCCTTTGAGGAGCGAGGAGAAGGAGAGGGATTTCTTTTCTTCGAAAATTGGTCCCAGTTTTATTATGGGCTCAATCGAAGGCCTTAGCCTTACAAATTACAACTTGCAATCCCTTCCGTACCATGATGTGAGTTCCCCTCTGCATTCTTGATGGGACTCAGAACCCGGAGAGAGTTTATCGTGCCTCATTTTTCAAATTCCTTTTCTTATCCTCCATCATGATTTTATTTTTACCCCCCACTAGGAAAGAGAATCAGAGAAGATGAGGAATAGGAAATGGAACGATAGAAACAGCAATCACACGTTGTTAAAACTTCGAAAGATAACCATGACGGAAAATAGAAAAATTTTCATCGTCTGATTCTTTAATTCCTTTCGTGCTGAATAAGAAAAAAAATTTTTGAAAGCACTGATACAGTGACAATGCCGCTTCTCATAGCAAATTCTTCATGCTTGCAGCCAAAAGGTAATTAATGGTAATAAATGACAAAAATGACAGTCCGGAGCCAGAGGCTTGGTTTGACCCACTATTTGCGTGAAAATTACAATAGAATCATCAAGTCGTAGCAGCCAGCACCACAGTCCTACTCTTGTTCTGAAGTCTTCTGATGAATAATGGCAACGAAATATAGGCTGGCAACCCTAACCTACCCTCTTCACAGTAGAGTTCTTACAGCGAAATGACCAGCATTCAAACAGTGGCATGACTTACCACTAAAATCATAGACTCGGGGAAAAAAGGCCCTTTCTGTGGTTAGTCTATCTAAACCCATTTCATTCCATAAATGTATTCAACAACCTTACGAGTACCGCTCAGAAGTCTGATCTGATCCTTCAAGGTCTATTACTTTGAAGGTTTCAATAGCAAATCAGAATAGCCTGCAATGCATCTAAGCTATTATTAACATTTGCAGATGTTATTTTTCTTTAAAGTGTAATTTTTTTAAAATATTTCTGATGTACTTTTATTGTCTTCAATCCAAGCGTACAATGCAGAGCACCAAGGCGTCTGTGGAGGAACACTCCCTGCCAGCATATAAAGCTATCCAACATCTCAGTTAATGTTCACAAACCACGATACCTGCATGCCATCCAAGTGAAAATGATCTTCCAGAGCTTACAGTGAAGAAGCAGGCACGTGCATTTACTCTTCCCGGCCACATAAATTAAACCTAATGCATTTAACAGAAATCAATTCTTATAAAGATCACCAGCGAGATTTAAAGGAAAGATATTTTCCCGGTAAAAATTTCTTATGCATACCACAGTTTCTTGTTATCATCGTTAGCACGCTTTCATACATTCACTCGGCCAACAACATGATTAGATGAACTAGAGCATTCGAAACTTGAATTTTAAACAGTTGTTGTTCTACAATTCCCAGTCGTGGAAAATTGCCACAAGCAGTGGAGAAATAAGATGCAAACTAGTTTACCATGACAACATGAAAAAGATGAATGTGTCAATCAAGTCTGATGTGGCACAAACATATGTAATTGCAATCATCTAAAGCAGCTACAGACACAATGATTCAGTACAGTGAACATGAACCAGTAGAACCACCTCACGCCAACAGAGTTCAGCATATAATCTAGTGGAAGCCAATCTCACCTCTAACACAACTAGAGACTTAAGTGTACATTTCCAAGCATTTTATTGACTACTATTTTCAAAAGAGCTGAGTGATTTCAAACTACATGACGCCCAAATACATAATTAGAGCCATACATAAATGAATTATTAGACTGTTAAGAGCATGGTGTTGAATGTATAGAGGTAAGAACAAGGAAAGGCAAAAGGGAGTCTTAGCACACAACAATATAAGTGTCACATTGTTAGATCATATGATTGCACAGAAGATTAAGAATTAAATGTCAGTCTTCAAACAATAATTAATCTGAAAAAATGCACACACGAATTATCCCCTTCTTTCTTGTATTCTCAGCAGCAAAGAGTATATGAAATCTCTGCTCACCTTGATTAGTCCTAATTAATTCGGCACAAAAGCCAAGAATTCCACATTCACCCAAAATCACAACAGTAGTTTATCTCATGGTAGAGAGTTTGATCAAGATTCAGCACAAGAGGTTTCAGCTGCAACTCTTGAACACAGCCTCCCCTCCTTTTCAACCCAAACCAAAACAGATCTATGGCATTCTATCATCCAGAAGATTTACCTAAACTCAGTGGCAAAACTTTCAAAACCCAAGCCCTTCATCTATTTTACATATATTCAATCGATTAGAGAAATACTTTTCCACTAAAATTCAGATTTCAGCTTTTGATACCAAAGAGAGGATTTCCATTTTTATTAATTTTTTAAAGAGAGTTTCTAAATGATTTCCTGCTTGAAGATGACACTAGTGACATATATCAGTCCTGGAAATGAATAAGAAAGAAAAGCCAAATGGCATCATTCATATAAACAAGGTACATGCAATTGAAAGAATACAATAAAGAGTAAAAATCAAGAAAAAAAAAGGGCAGAAAGACTTCCGATACCCATAACATAAGCAAACACTGATAATTTGCCCTGAACCTTCAGCAAACAAAAGAGAAGATCTGAAATGATGCTTCTAAGTTCTAGCATCCACATCAAACCCTGCTCCGGTCCAGCCAGGTGCTGCAGACCCTCTACCCTTGGGCATAGCAACAAACCCCTTTCCTCTTCCTTGAAAATGGCTTTTCTTCTTTCCCTTTACTTCTCTATCATTGGTGGGCGGTTGATTCTGCCCATTCATAACTGGAGCATATCCAGCATTACCTCCATTAGGTAAATTTTCAGAAACAGTAGAGTCTGCTTCTGTTGTTTGTGGAATTGGGGAAGCATCTACAGTTACAGCACCCCGTGCAAATCCAATAGCTTTCATGTCCTAAACATGAACCAAGTGCAAACTTTCAACAATTTTTCTACGATTTACTCACATATATCAGTGCTTATAGTAATCCACAATCCTGAGAACACAAAAGAAATACAAAAAATGTTGCCAAGCAACAGGGCCCTTCTGTTAAGCAGGCACTTTAGTTTGGCTTCTTCAGAATAGCCATTTCCAAAATGATCCTGGCTCACTATGAGTAGATCAGGGAATTGATAAAGGCATTTTTGAAACCAATTTCCATACATCTAGAGTAGTTTATTATATTAGAACAAACATAATCTTAGAAAGATCAGCAAATTAAGACTTCTGATCTCACTTCATATTTTTCGCCTTCTTCTTATTTGGGGCAAGGGGCAGTTTAAATTGATTGATAGAACTACTGCCTAGAGGGAGCCAAACATTAACAAAAAATCAAGAAGGCCTATACGTGATGGTCAAGAAAGGTTTTGTTGAGTTTGTAGGCATGCTCACACATGAATATCTTTTCCATTTCAATATGACATTCCCTTATCAATCCAGTTTATTACACAGTGAATCCAAAAACGATTAGCAATAGAAAATCACAAGCAGAACTTACAAGAACAGAGAACCATTTTGATTTTTCCATTGGGTGACGTGTCTTTTCTGATGACTGTTGTAAAGCAGTTATCTTCTCCACATAAAGGACTGTATAAGTATATACTACATAGTATAATAAGGAGAAATAAGCTTACATGATGAGACAAAATGGATGTTCTACTTGGTTCAGAGCTTCCATTCGCCTTTTCAACTCCTCAAGTCAGGTAAAACTGAAGAGTTACTGCTTTCTCTGAACCCTATCAACGAAAATGCATCAAATAGTTACACAGTGCAATTAATGCCTACTTATCCACCCATAGCGAAGAAGCATGCCAAGATTGTTAAGTCCTAAATCTGAAATGCATATAAACAGGCTGCTATCAAATTGAAGATAGGAGGCAATATGCTTGCCAATAAAATGGATAGTAAAAAAACTGAAAAATTATTCAGTAGCCTGCCGCAAGTCCAAAAAATCAGTTTTGACCTTAATTAATTCAAATACAACCATACCCATTAGTGTTTAAGCAAATTCCAGAATCTATCTCAATCTGCAAACCCATGCGGGAAGACTAAAGTGTTACAGTAGTGAATTCCCTCATTTCAGATAAAATGATTTTACCTGGGTTACAGTAACATCTGAACATTTGCATTGGAAAGTGTTTTTCATGTTAAAATTTTATGATTTGGCCTGTCAGGTCCCTAATCAACCTAGTATTGCTGTCCCATTGAAGCAGACAGAAGTGCCAGAAAATATTGAGAACTCTACTTCGTTTAAGAAAAGATGAGATATAAGGCCATAATACAAGCTCAATTAAACTTGAGAGGGAGAGAGAGAGTGAATATGACAAACCTTTCGTGCTTTTTCTTCCTTCTGCTTGCTTCTGCTTTGCAATGCGTATTCTCTCAGTTGACATTTCAATTTTCTTTCTCATATGTTCAAGGGCTGAAGGTACGCACCATGTACTAACCACTCCACTATAGAAAAATACACATAAATGAAGAAATATTTCATATAATGGTAAAAACACACCAAACTCCTTTTTTAGGCCCAGCAATGAGTTTCATCTCCATTGTACAATTCGCTGGTTCTCTTTCAACATCACGAATTTTAGAATAATTTTCTTCTATGTACCTGAAAGTGTGCATCAAAGGAGATTAGATAAAATTCCCCAACAAATTAAATCATGAGAAACAGACTCAAAGAACATTAAAAAGAAGAGAAAAAATAACTTTATAACTTATAGTCCTCTTTCTACTTTTGTACTAGTAAATGCTACACACTGAAAAATTAAATTCTTAAAAGTTAAAAGCAAATAAATTTTTATAATTTAATAACTAAATTATGAGGGAAAAAGCTACTTTCTTACGCTTTTTTGGGTATGTAAGTAAACAAAGATTGTCAAATTGAAGTTTTTCAATATTAATTAGTTAATGCAGCTCATGAAATTGAAAGAAAAAAAAAATGCCAGGGTTCATAACCAAGTACAAATTGAATCAATTTCAGCTTTGATGATAAGAACTTAATTCAAGCAATAAAGATCAAATAAATAGAGATATAGGATTCAATTATCGTTTAAAGAAGTACCAAACTCTGAAGAAAATCTTATGCAAATATCACTAATCACTTCCTATCTCTTTATATCTGAATTAAAGTTTAAGGGCTTTAAGCTAATTCTTAAAGGCTAACAATTTATAGAAAACTCAGATATCTATTATCTATTTCTATACTGTTTTTCTACATAACATCGTGCAGTGCAGGATTATAAGAACACTTCCATTACAATTATTGAATTAAAGTCCAGCATTGAACAGAATCATCCAATAGGCCAGGTTACTACAATTGAACGCAGGCAAGTGAAAAAAACAAATGATGAAATAAAGCACATATCTAAAAATAGAAAGTCAGAAGTAACAATATGAACATACTTCTTGAGTTGAAGCCGCTCTTCCTCGATTATCTGCAGCCACAGCAGAAAAAAAATCGCAGTCACATTTTCACCAAAGTAATTAAAGAAACACAGGGAGAGAAGAAGAAAGAGAATCGACCTTCTCAGTGTAGGCGATGACAGGTGCTTCCCTAGCAAGTCCATCGGGTCCGATCTCGGGCATCAGGGCAGGATTCGACGCCATTTTTCTTCTATTTCTTTTGTTCGGAATTGAAATCAAAACTAGAAATAAAAATGGAAAACAGTCTTCTAATTTAAAAAAGGAAAAAAAGAGTCGATAACAGTGAGGTTTACCGTTATACTCGTTTCCGATCTTGCGTTTTCCTATTAAAGAAATTAGGTAAATTACACATATACGCGCGTACACACGTATATAATTATATACGTGCGAAACATATATATATATATATATATATGTTAAACTTGATTTTAAGTTTATCTGGTGAGTTTAAATATAATATTTAATTATTTTATAATTTATTTTATTATATTTTTACTCAAAATCATTATTTTTTATTTTTTATTTTTTATCTTCAATTCATCTTCTTTTATAATATATTTTTTTTTCTAAAATCAAATAAATTCTTTTTCTAATAATTAAATCCAAAACCTACGAAATTTTTTTTTTACAAATAAAAAAAAAAACTCAAACTAAAACCTAAATTTTGATTTGCTTTGGATGTTTCTACTAATAACTGTTTTTTTATTGTATTGATTATTCTGATTAAGACTTTCAAATTTTTTTGTTTATTTATTTGTATGTAAATTTTAAAGTTTTGTATCCTTTTAAGAATAAAATTTTATTGTTAAAAATTATATCAAGTATTACACAAATAATTAATTTGCATTCCGCATCCACACTAATTTCCAAGGCAACTATCAATTAAATTTAGAAATAAACCCAACACCTATCACAAAAACTTATGAAATTGAAATTCATCTAAATTACTCACACATAATAAATTCATAAAGCAATCACCAAATTTATATAATAGCGGCAAGATGTTTTTTTTTTTATGTGGGTTTTTAATTTTGAATTTTTAAGAATTTTTAGATTTTAAAATAATGATGAAAAGAATAAGTGGAAGAAGATCAATTAGTGGCACACGCTATAATTATATATTTTTTCAACAAATTTTTATTTGTTGAGCATAGTAAAAAATTCATGTTTTTAATTTTTTTAAAAAAGTTTAAATCTGATAAAAAGTAAAAAAAAAAAAAAGTAAAAAGTTAGAATTTATTGATTAAGTGTTATCGGCATTAATGAAAATTAATAAAATATTTTTAATACATAATTGAAAGTAATTAAGTGTTACTTTTAAATCTACAAATTCAAATCGAGTTAAACCTTAAAAAAAAAAAAAAAATTGTCAAGGGGATACGGATGTCTAGTGCTGAGTGGGGAGGCCGGCATACCGGTTCAGTGGTCCGGTCCAATGAAGTGCGTAACGGGGAAATCATTTTTAAAATCTGAAGTTGGACACATACTGAGCACGTGCAAAGGCTATTCCTTCTAATCTTGATTTGGGTAGAAAATAAGGTTTCCTAAATTTCCACACTATGTGTTTGTAGAATTGTAGTGAATAAGATAATGGTAATCCTTAAAATTAATTTATGCTGCCACCTTATAATATCCATTGTCTATTCATTTAATTTAGTTAATTTCAAATTAAATTGATCAAATTATATTATTTTATTTTTATTAACAAATTAAATTTATTAATTTTAAAACTTAATTGACTAAATTTATTTTGATTAATTCAGTTAATTTTTAACTTAATCAAATAATAAAATACATTTTAATAAAATTATATTTTAAACTCATAATTTCTTATAATTAAAATTAACTAAATAAAATCATTTAATAAAATAATTTATATTACTAAAACATTAAGTTAAAATTTTAGTAACTTATAAAACAAAAAGGAACATTTCATGTATTTATAGTTTTATATTTAAAATTTTTATATTTCAATTAAAATTTTAATTAATTCAATTAATTAAAATTAAAAATCTTTTAAAATCATTTTTTATAATTGACCGAAATTAATTCAATGACTAATCAATTAATCAAATTAAATCAATTTGATAAATTAATTCAATTAAAACCGAAACATAAACATCTTCGCTAAAAAATGATATCTAATAAATTTGACATTCAAACCTTAACACTTGTAGTTTCTTTTTTTTTTTATTCTATAACTACAACCTCTCTTTTATAAACAAAGAAGAGTAGAATCAGAAAACTTGTGGGGCATTTTGCAAAACCCACATGAGTGGAAGGAGACAATTAGGATATGAAGTACAACAAATAACGTACACTATGAATATGTTGATGGAGGTGTTGGAATATGAAATACAACGAATATAATTTTTTTGGGGGGGGAAGATGCAACAAATAATTTTAAATGCTTACCTCCCACAAATACATAACATCTGGTCCAGCATTCTGGTGCACGATTTGTCTTTTATTGAGATTAATATTTGATCACTTGTTTTATTGATACATCAAACTTCTTTTACACTTAAATAACAAAATTAACTCAAACAGAGTAAGCAAAACTTTTGGCTTATAGATCTACCATCTCTGAGATGCAATCCATGCTCTGAACTTTAGCATGGAAACCAAAAACTAGAGAGCTTAATACAACAAAGCATAACAATTAGGATCTCTATTAAATTCTATGATGCAAAAGATTTGGTTAAGGCATCAAGAACAGCCTTTTTGTGGGCAGCGCAGGAATTGCACCTCTCTCTGTTACTGTAAGGGCTCCACAGGTATTTGCAAACAGTAAGGCTTCTCTAATCGCTTCTCATCCTGTCAAAAAGAGAAATTCACATATATATATTTCTGGGAAACTATTGTACACTTATAACTTAGATTAATAAAATATTGGTCTATGAACCTCAAGTCCTTAACGCCTGTTGCACTAATACTGTTCCAAGGGTAAATGTGTTTAACTATAAGATTCTGCAAGAGATCCATTTAAATGACTAAAAGTGAAATCTATAAATAACCATTAGGATAGAAGATACAGTAAATTATCTTTTCTTAAATTATGTAAGAACTGATAGGTACTGAAATAGCTCTAAATCAGAAGCTAGGCTACTCAGTAGGCCACTAACAAATGCATCACCAGCACCTGTCGTGTCAACAGGTTTAACTTTAAAGCAAGGAACCCTTCCTTTGAATGCCTGCAG